TTAATAAAATTATTATTAATATACTTAAGACATACTTACGTAAACACAACACTAGAAACACTTAAAACAAGATCAGGAACACAAACACCATCTGGTCCACAGTTCCTTTGAATAGGTATCTATAAACAGCTAAACATAATTCATCTACTCTTGCTAATAATTAATACAGAATTTTTCTGATACATACATTCTTAAATGGCACATAAAGTTTAAGTCAATTCTGAAGGTTGTGGGCATTTTAAAATTAGCTGTAATAGTTGCTTTTGAAATGTCTGGTCTACAACATCACTACACATTTGCATTATTAAAAATGCCTCAAGAATGAAAAATAGCAATCCTTACACTTTCTTGAAAAGAATTTGACTGGATAATAGGAGACTGTGAGGAGCTAGTAACATTAATGTTAGTATCCACTGGAGTATTCTCTCGCGGTATCTGCTCCAACTGAATCCTCAACTTAAGATCATCAAAATCAGTTGTATTCTAAAAAAAGGAGAAAGAGAAAGTGTAAAATTAGAGTATTATAATTTCATTGTAAATAAAGAAAAGATATTTAATTAAAAATACAGACACTCAACATTATTCATTTTATACCTTCACATAGACCACAACAGTATCTGTCACTATTACATTAACTCCAGTATATGTTATACCATGTCTTATTGAAGATGATGAAGGATTGTCAAAGAACAGACGACCAGCAGAACCTGACACTCTGACCTCACTTAAAACATAAGTAGTACCTACCATAGGGGTAGGAACAAACTAAAAGTTGGGGGGGCTAAGGTATTATTTATTTACAATCATAGGAGCATGATTTAACAATTGATCATTAATATATAGCATGTACTGAATTAATATTGTCCAAAATACTGGCGTCTATGCTCATTAAATGTAACAAATTCCTTTGCAATGTCCTCAATGTGTAAATCATCTGTAAATTCTTTGTGTGTATGCAAAATAACAACATGATTAAGATGCTCTTGTGACATTGTGGAGTGCAAGTAGTTTTTTAATCTCCTTAACGTCAAAAATCTATGCTCAGCTGAAGCTGATGTTAACAGAGTTGTTAAATAAAGAAGTAGAGCCTTGTGTATTTCTGAAAAAAATAATAAGAGTGTGTGTTCTTAGAAGTTAAGATAGTCTATTAAATGTTCTATGAAATGAATCATCACACAATATGCACACATATAAGGATTACCTAAACTAAAGTCTATAGTGTTGATAATAGTGATACATGTATATCACTTAAAGTTGGGGGGGCTAAGCCCCCCTTCAATGAAAGTTGGGGGGGCTTAAGCCCCTCCGCCCCCCCCCCTGTTCCTACCCCTATGACTACCTACAATTATTTTAATTATTTGTCTGCATGTACTCAAATTCTTACTGAATCCTAGTGCTAGACCTTTCCCAGTGTAAGAAGAAGTTACATTAACTTGAAAACTAAACAAGAGACATAACTAAAAAAGGGTATTAATATCAATGTTTAATATACCAGCCAAATACAATAATACTTGTGATCTCAAGCTAAATTATGAGCATTTTGGAGTCAATTTTTAGAAAAGAACAATGCATGGTATTTATAAGAAATTAGTAGTTTTCAAATGCAAATATCTAAGTAATCCAGAATTAAACTATACTTCTTAGAGTATTTCTCACCATGTACTTTGAACAACTCCTTGAAATGAGCAATCAAAAGTGTTTAAACCAACACTGGGGACATTAGCAACAAAACTGATATTAGCTACAGCAACTGGTATAGTACGTAATATAAATACACTCTGTGACTCAAAAGCACCAACTACCAGATCTGATGAAAGAAAAAAAGATGAAAAAGAGAAACAAAGGATTTTAAAATCGAAAATACTATTAACATTAAATATCGGTTTAATACTTAAATTGATTTATTCAAGGCCATTGAAGGCTTACCTCTATATTCATTTTGATCAATATCAGTGCTACCACAGAGAGAGAACCCAAATGAACTGACTGAAGTAAGATTAGTGACTTGACCTGCAACTTCTGTACCATTTATCACCTAAAAACAACAAGACAGCATTCTGAAATAGCACTACAGAAAGCTTAATGATTGGCTATGTATAATGACTATAAAGTATACATTAGCTAAATAGTCAATATCCTGTACTTGTTGTATGGTGGTATTAACAATAGATCCATTCACATTTTGTCCATAATAAATATAAACAACACCATCACCATCAAATGGAGCACCTACTGCAAAATCTACAGAGACAATATAATTATTATTTATTGTGTCATTAATTACAACCATTATATCCATCATTATTAATGTCACCAAGTGTTGCTAGAGACATTCCAAAACAGCCAAAGTTAGTCTGACCAAACACTGATCCACTGTACTCAAAATTACCAGTGCCCTATAAAAAGTGAAATGACTGTAAAACTAATTCTCTTTCTCCATGTATAATTTTTTGCCTTCCTCTCTCTCTTTCTCTTAACAATGTCTTACTGTTCCATCATTTCTATAAATAGCTACTCGGCCAGACTCAAGATGCTGTCTAGCTGTGTCAATGTAAAATGGAGCACCTACCAAAATATCATCCCAACTATAAAAGAGGAAATAGAAAGAATAAAAATACAAGTAAAAGTAGCAAAGGTGTGTATGAAGAGTACACTGTGAAATAAATATAAAAGTTTAAAGCTACATAAACTGCTTTTAATAAAACATCAAAAATAACAATGTCATCATGAATTATACCCATCTCCATTAAGATCTGTTGCTGCAACTGAATATCCAAACTGTTCACCAAACTGTGTCAAATAAATTATAATAAAATAATGAAAATAATAAATGAGTATATACCTGATCTCCATCAATGGATAATGTTGGAGCTTTAGAAGGATTAGTAACAATATAAACCTAATAACAATAATATACCGTACAGCAGGTTCATTTTGAGGATAACAAATTTTGCGAATTTTGCAGATTTTTCCAGATTTGCAAAATTAAATTCCTTGAAAATCAATTTAATACGGTACAAGATGGCAGAATAGTAGAAATTCACAAAATCAATTCCGAGAACTTCTGGATACAAAATTTATTATCCTCGAAATAAACCTGCTATACAGTAATTGAATTATATTTTAAGATATTTTAAGATAATTGTAGCTTTATACAAAAAGTTTCATGACATTAAAAAATTACCAACTTCTTTGTCTTAGGTTATTCCAGTTAGCAAAAATTAACTGGCTTAAATTTTACTTTTTTCTTATATGAAGTCATGTTGAGTATTCAGTATAAGCTAATTTTATTGATAGGTATATCTTACCCTTCCAACTTGTGTAGTTCGATTATACTTTGGAGCTGATACAACTACATCTGGAAAAGAGAAAAAAGATAAAAAATATAAGATGAGAAGAGAGCAAATTAAGATTACAAGAGTTACTGCAGTACATATTCTAAAATGTGTACACATGATACCTTTAACTGTTTGATTAGTTAAGAAACCACTAGCAAGAGCAAAGCCTAAAACAACAAGTATGAAATGGAACAATGTAAAGAATAAGGTTAGGAAAATTGGAGATTTTTGCATGTATAAATAGATTTAAGACAGGAGCAAAAATATTACCATAGTATGAAAGCCTTTCATTTGGTACATTGGTTGGACCTGATAGAAATTCTCCATTTGATGCCCTAACAGTAGGTGCTTGTGCTACTAAGCTACCATCCAATGGAACAGTTGAAGTTGAATTTAAATAAAAGGTCATATTTCGTCCATCAACTAGACGAATAAAAGTATCATTAAGAGTATCCAATGGATTGTAATAGAACACTCCTCCTCTACTAAAATCTCTGCCAGGTGAACCTATCATAAGAACTGGGCCAATGAAGTTCTAAAAATGAAATAAAATTAATGAAAATTATATAAAAAGACTCACACTTTTTGATAATGGGGTACTAGATATACCAGCAGAAAATCCAGCTTCACAGAAACCTTCGCCAAATTGATTAGTACTGATACCATTTTTGACTATCAATTGATAAACACAATGCTTAGTTGGCTATACCCTGCATCAATTGTATGGTACATAAACACTGTAGAGTTTTAATTTGTTGCTGACTTATTGTGGCAAATCATACCTTTTTAAAAAAGGCTAAAATTTAATTATAAAAACCTCATGCTATATCACCATAGCAAAATACCAAGTGAGTTGTCATGCACTGGCAAATATTTTGTAGATTTTGATTTTATGAATATAGAATACAGTGAATATAGACTTACAACATGGCTTTATTCTGAGGAAATTCTTTAAGCTACGACCAGAATAAACACATTGACCTCTCGGCTGAGACATCTCGTAAGTAGGAAGATCAATAAACTCCCACAATGGTGCACATGCCTATTTGCAAAAAGGACAGAAAAAAGAATAAAAGTACAAAAAAGGAGAACAAGGACAAAGAGTGTGTCTTTTTGATGAATATAACATATATCTTAACCCAGTTAACCATAGCCGTAGCCTAGCACTGGGGGTGCACCTCAATTAGAATGATTAGTGATTCCCACCCATTGACCCTTGTTATAAGGTCACAATCAGATAGTCTTTTGTCCCAGTTCTGTTTATGTGGTTTGGCTACAATTAATTTTTATTACCATTATTTTTGCTTGTCTATGCATGTTAGTCATTGTGGTTAGAGGTATGGTTTTTCTCACGTGACCCTCTGAAGGAAGTGACAGTCTGCCAGATGTGGCAGGTTAAAACGTTTTTTTTTTGCTTCAACTCTCCCTGCTCTGCCAAATCCACTTCAGTCAGGTCAAGCAAGTTTTAAGTAATCTTTTTAGTCCTAAACTAGAGTTGTTTTAATAGGCTGATACCAAGTTTGTGTAGTACATGTACATGCATGAATAATGTACTCTTGGTATAACTGGTATAGGCTCTGTGGTTTTATGGATATGGTCTTTGTTTGTATATGGCAACTCACCTACATGTACATGTATTTCCTTTGTGAGTGTAATATAGTCCTAGGTAGCCATACTGGAGACAAAGTGTGGGCTTGGGCAGCCATTATTAGGGGCTATGCAGCCTATGCTTGAGGCTATGTGGCCGTGGTGCTTGTATGAATTACATGTATGATGCAATTAACATTACTGCATGTACATGTAATAATTGTGTGTGTGTGTGTGCATGCGTGCATGTGTAGCTGTGTGCAGTTACTATAAAATATCCGTCTTCACTATAAACTGTAGCTCCCATCTGCTGTCCTTCCTTGTTTTGTATAAAAAATATGTCATAATAAATATCACTGACCACATTATAAAATGCATCAATATCCCCTAAATGAACAATAAGTGAATGATACAGTATACTTAATGAATGGTACTCTAACCAACTCTATCAAACAGTTGTCCATCAGGTGCTTCAGGGTCTCCATTACCAAGAGGAGCAGTACAAGACCCAGAGGATAGTGAACACTGATACACCAGTCCTGTCCTATAATTCATACCAGTTTGATTATAACAAGCAAGTATGTCCTCCATGTTGGTAGGAAGTGAGTTGGATGAATAAAACTGACGACATGATAAGTTAGTTGGTGGTACTTCAGTATATTCTAGACCACCTGGGTAAGCACCATGAGGAGCACCAACCATTATACTGTAAGGAAATGTATAAGATAGAAAGAAGGAAAGTTAACAAAAACAAGAGCCTGATGCATGCATAACAAAGTTTATAGTTTACACTATAGTGCAAATAATTAGCCTGGATAATCATGTATACCAATTAACATTTCGATCTGTAGTAGACACATTCCCCCCATTCAAATTTTAATCAATGCATCTACTATAATTACATGTAGTGAAATCAGTTATTGTAGCAACACAAGAGAAAGGCTTTGCATCATGCAATATAATTATTGGTAATACTAATCTGTGCATGCAAAACAATGAGATAAAGAAAACATAATAGTGATGAAAAAAGATACTTGTAGAATAACAAACTGCATACCATAGCTGTCAAAATACCAGTGACTAACTGGGGAAATAGGAGTTACGAGAGGCGACTAGTTACAAATTTTATTTGAAATGGCTCTGAATTGTATATAATACATAATCCTATAAAGAATATAATAATTTATAATCAATGGAATTAGTTTCCACTCACTCAGCGGCCTTCGTAAACCACAATTAATATTGGTGACTATTTCATGCCTGTAAGTTTTTATATTATATAGTCAAAAAGTTTTGAGGAAATTGAATTTTTGCAAATTTGCAAAATTAAAATTCATGAAAATAATAATGGTACAACTAGATGGTGCATGGGATGTTTTGATTTACAAAAATCAATCCCCCTAAAGTTTTTGGCTATACAAGTATGAGACACTCACAGAGTTTGGTTAAGTATATCTTCCATGCTCATACCAGATGGACTATCAAACAGTTGATGCACAGTGACTGAATATCCAAACGAGTCATCAGTAGTACCCACTCTCCTAGCAGGAGATATCTTAGTGATAGGTTGAAGTACGTCTATTGACTCTAGGCCATCAGAACAGCGCAAGAGGAACAGAAAAATAAGATGATTGATCGAAACAAGATTAAGATGCATTCTGATTCCTGATGTTACAAGAGAACCCCTTCATGCCCTTCTATCTATGCTTCTATGAAGTGAGAGGCTGGTGAGAGCAATGTATTAATGTAATAATAATTCGCTGGGTGGGGCTCGCCATAAAATTATTATTCTCTAATGATAATGAAAATTAAAAAACATTTATGACTGAGAGTGCATGTATATACTAAAAAGAATAAAGGATAAGATTAGACAAATATAGTATTATGTATCTAGTTAATTTGGGGAGCAACTTCTGCATTCTCTTCTCCAACTATTTCCAATGGACTAAGTTCAAATGTTAGTGTTTCATCTCCAGCCACTTCAACTTTATGATACTTCTTTCTTTTAAAGAAACCCAACTAAAGGAATAGAAACTGCATGAAATAGTCACAGTTTAACTGATCTCAGAAGTAATACACTCTTCTCAAATTAATGATAAAACAAACACTGTTGCCGGCGTTCTCATTTGATGTTCATATTTCAGAAAAATATAAGCAGAATTAGCTCAAAATTTACTTAATTCTATGTGTTGGGAATTGAAAATTATAAGGCTGTTATCATTATTACATTATACTTAGTACTTACAAAGCAAAGTAGTGTCAGGATTATGACAAAGACTAGCTGAGCAGCTAGACTGGGAAATAAAAGAATATACCATGGTAATCCTAGCTCAGCCTCTGTATTATCATTTAGTCTTATCACACTAATAATACTCTAAAAAGAAAAAAGAAAATGGTACAGAATGTGGTTGGGTATAAGGTGCAATATATCGTTATCATTTTCTTTCATCTCCACTCTTCATCATCCCCCACTATGTTCTTCTCCCCTTCCTTACCACTGCTTCAGTGATAGAGTCGTTTGAAGTGAAGGTTGATCCATCAGTGACATTAACTTGAGCAAAAGCTGACAACTGGTATAATTCAGTTTTACCCTAAAATTACATGAATATGCAACATAACAGCATAACAATTTGGTCATAGTGGAATTAATGATTCTGAGTCACATACATTGTACACATAGGCATGGCTGCAAAATCACCAATACATTACTGCCAATACAATAATAGAGTTTGTATAATCACTCTCTCTCTTCACTCTATCTTACTTACATTGAAGAATCTTTCATTCAAATATCCAGTGATAGTCAATTCAATTCTTTCCTTCAATGAAGTAAAGTTACATACAATAGTAATACAGCCAGTGGTGCCTGACCCAGCGCAACCCTGAAAAAATGAAGTAATATTGACCTCATGTGTGTCAGTAATATTTGCCTAAGTAGATGCATTGTAGTATAGTATTTGGTGATAGAAATTGCCAGCATTATAATGCTATTTTAAATATCACACAAAATCAAGTGCTACCAAGTAAGCCAGCAATAGGCTTTTATGCACTGGAATTATGATATAATAGAGCTCACCCTTGCTCCAGTAGTTGACTGTCTAGTATTGAGACCAGGATGAAGTCCACCTGCTGATCTCTTATGTTCATTAGATCCAGTGTCCATTTGCAGTCTGTCCATTACATACGTGAAACCTTGAGAACTGAGTTGTGACTCATCACAGGAAACATTATTACTTGCCTATTGTAAAGAAAAATATATAATTAACTATAACAAACTTATATTTCTTCATTCATAGCTCTTACAATTATACTTGCTGGATAGAAGTACTTTTCATTCTCATTGCTCCTGGCTAGTATGTATATTGCTATTATGCCACTTCTTATTTGAGCTCCAAGTGTTTTTAACAAAGCAGTTGTTAGGTTGAGTTGTGATCCAGGTGAACTGGCAATGCTGTTAATAAAAGTAGAGCCACTTCCATTGTAATATATCTGCCTTGCAGACCACAGACTAGGAAGAGTATTATAATATGATTAAATTATCCACTCGTTAAATAATGTCATTCAGCATTTGAAAAATGCTACCTTCACTTTTTCATAAATTTACTCTAAAATTGTTCCATTACTTACATTGAATTTGGCTTAGGATTTGTTCATTTATGGAAAAGTACATGATAATAGATTACAACAAGAAAAGTAATTAAAATAATTTTAAAAGTCTACATGTACATGTACAAATTGTAACTCCAGAGCTTAGATTAGGTTAAAAATAGCACATGAAAGAGACAAAATGAAAGGTATATACATGTACTATAAATAACTTAATTACAACTCACATTTCAGTCCTGTATGTAGAAATGGCCACAACATCTAAACTCAAATACACTTTATTATTATTAACCACATCTTCTCGACTGTAAGTCTCATCAGGATTCTTAACAGATACTTTAATGGGAAGGCTATCCACATTACCATCAATATCTACTACATCTAATTTAATGACATAGTTTATTGGGCCGTGCCTTGAGGTGAGTATTGAAGGAAGAACATTGACACAGATCACAGTTGAGACAAGTGAATTTATAGAAGTGTCATTGCATTGATCTTCAGTCTAAAAATCAAAGTAAATGTAGCAAAAATGGAATATTCTCTTGTAGCCATTTTAAATGAAAACTCTATACTACATGGCACTCATTACATTGCATGGTCTTGACCCAATTTTTGAGCAATTTAAAAAATTCATAAAAAATTCTATTTTTATCAAAATCACCTTAAACGTAGCATAAATGCATGTATATACATCAGAAAAAATTATAAAAATGGAAAATTCTTTTCTTTTAATTTTTGCCAAAATTTGGCCACTGACACTGTACTATAGTACAGGGACTTTGGCCTGATTTTGGAACAATTTTAAGAATTTATAAAAAAATTTAAATTTGATCAGAATCAACTCAAAGTTGATACAAAACGTAAAAACATGTATATGTATCAGGAAAAAAATCTAAAACTCAAAAAATTTTTTCTTTTCATTTTTTGTGAAATTTAGCAAACGACCCTGTACTTATAGTAGAGTGACTTTGACCTAATTTTTGTGACTTTGACCTAATTTTTGAGCAATTTCAAAAATTTATAAAAATTTTATTTTTATTGGAGTCACCTCAAGCTTTCTACAATGCAATGTACATTTATACGTATTAAAAACTTATAAAAATAGAAAATTTTCTCCTTTTAATTGTTGGAAAAATTTGGCAAACAACCCTGCACTATAGTTCAGGAACTTTGGACCAATTTTAAGCAAATTAAAAATTTGCAATTTTGATTGGAATCACCTTACACAACACATGCGCATAAATATGCATCAAAAGAAATTATAAAAACTTCCTTCCTAGTCATTTTTGATGAAATTCCCTGTACAAGGAACAATATTAGATACTATGTCGGCTTTTAATGCATTAAATAGATTAATTTGTACATAAAACAAAAAGTCCATTAAATAAAATTTTTTTTCAAGTGCTAATTACTTTGCCACATGAGCCGCTCATCCCTCTACTTCGAGCTCTATTTATTGATCTGAATGCCCAACTATACAAGTACATGTATATTTTCTATCTCCATTTTTTCTGCATCACTTACATTTGCCACATGTTTCAAGTTAGCTTTAGGTATAGTAATGTTCAGGTAAGGATTGTAAAAGTCTTCTCCATTATTCTGTATTGTTACAGTGATAGTAATCCT